AGCTTCTCTGCAAACTAACAGAAGGCAAATAATGCCACCATTACAATGTGGTCCAGACGTACCAGCAAGCAAAGTACAATGCCATGGTTCTGTTACAGAAAGGAAATTACTATGCTTTTATTTACTTCATGCATGTTATTATCAATAAAACTACCACCGGATTTCTGTTTAATTTTTTGTAACCATCAATTTTGATCCACAGTTTTTATTTTTATGTCTAACTCAAACAAATAATCATTTTTCAAGCATTATAAAAGGAAATTATTTTTTACTATAGTAAGTTAATTGCTCATTTTCATAAAGTGACCTCACAAAAGGAGTAATTCAAAAGGAGAAAAAAGACCAAAGTTGGGAGGATGTTATATTTATGCAAATTTAATCTCTAATAAATGATCCCTAATATTTAGGAACTCTGGAAAGTCACAATGGCTTCCTGATAGTTCTTATAAAACTATCTGTATCATATCATTCCAAAGGACCATCTAGCCATATGTCTTGTCCTGACACAGACTAGTATCAGATGCTTGAGGAAAAAGCAGTGCACACTAACAGCTGAATTCCCCCAAGTCTCCTCCATATTTCAAGCAGAAATTTGCCTCTTCATATTCCAAGGCTCAGAGCCTTGAATCTTCATCCTCTTTTACACAGATCATTGCATCCATTTAATGAATGAACCTTAGAACCACTCAGCACTTTCTTCTTTATAAACCTACATTTGCATGTCCTCATACCAGCTTATAAACAAATATTTGATACCGACCAAGGTAAACAAACAACAATAAAAATTTCCTCTATTTCTTTAAAATGTCCTGATGGGCATTTAATGTGCTGGTGTCCAAGGTTCAACAATGGAAACAGTGCACATGATCTCTAAAAAAGAGGACAAGGATTCAACTTAGCCTCCACACCTCACATGTAATATACCCCTCTTTAGGCTAGAAGATGATGTCAGTCGCAATATATTTGGTGGATGCCACCAACCAGAATCTGAGCCAAGTCACTTCACATGAACGCAATGATCACTAAGTGCCTAACAAATACCTTAAAAGTTCCTACAGCAGGGAAGTAGGAATCTGCAAACTCAGAAAGGGAAGGGAGACCATCACTCTTGCATTCTCACAACCTAAAGACGAAGGTCTTGACCTAAGAGAACCACCTTCAGTGGTTCCTCTGTAAAAAGACAGATGAACCACAGAATCACCTCTTCTTCCTGGTCTGTAGCTTTCTGGATGGTTCTCAAACATCTTGGACTACAGTTTCCAGTCGCTGCAAAACATTATAATATAGAAATGATTTGAAGTAGACCTGAGAATGTCACCTCTTTGATTTCAATTTGTTCAAGGAAAGAATCATTTCAGCATAAATACAGTGCAGAGCAGACATGTAAGAGTTGAGTAAAGTCAAGGAGTGGTAAATCCCTGAAAGAACATGGAATATTACAGTGTTCTGTGCTACAGTCCTTCATCAAATGATCGACTAGTTATCATTAATAATATTAGAGTGTTCAGATGGCTTCAGTGCATGAAGCATTACTCAAATATGTTATTTTCTTTATAGCTGAGCTCCATGTAACATTTTGTACAGCTATTTTTAGAATGAGCTCCAAAAGAAAAATGCAAAAATTAACAAGCCTATCCACACCTTTTCTCCCCTCATAGTTATAGCAGATTTCCTTTCTTCACACATCTATCTGAAACCAAGAGCAGCAATCGTGTTAGAATTGTGGCTCTACTAATTCGCTGAGACAAGCTACTATGTTTTCTATGATCAAAGAGACAGCCGCAACAAGCTTGATGCTCTGGGTGTGGTATCCAGTCCTTCATCTTGGGAGCTGACTTTCTGTTACTTCAATAGGTATCACCTCAAGTCTTTTATCTACTCCCTCTCATAATGCACTACTAGAGGTAGCGCATCATAAAACCAAATGCTATGTGGAAATGCCAGAAAAAGGCTGGGTCAGTTCTCAGAGATTTCTTAGTAAATAAAAATGCATACACATATTCAAGATATGTAATTATACCTAGAAGAATCCAAGGAAGGCATAATTACAGGATTGTGATAAGGCAACCTTCCAACTGCAGCAAAGGTCTTGAAAAGAACTAGTTCATCCACTGACATCAAGTAACCTCTACATTTCAGGACATTGCTACTCATTTAATAAGCCAGTCTTGAAAATTCTACTAAAGTCTACCAAATGGACTGACAAACACTTGTGGTTACACACATACCCCTTCTTGGATGAAGACTCCTCCTTTGAAGTCATCTAGGTAAAGGCTGTGCTCCATACTTAGCAATTAATTTTCTCTTTTTCCTGTACTATGAGGAGTAACATTATCTGCAGCAACCTGCAGATATCCCTTCCTAAACGCCTGCATCCTATCACATACTGATTGTGAAACTTCAAAGATGCAACTGACAGAAGGACAATGTCACTGATCAGGACCATCCCCATCCAAAATGTGGCTCAACCAGCATGGAACTGTTCTCTTTGTCCCTTTGAAAGTCTCTCTTACTGGGAGAAATTATGTCCACTTCTTCCACGCTTTAAAAATTTGAAGTAGTAAACTTCCTACCAGACCTATCTCCCAAAATGACTTCAGGTTCTCCTTAAAAACAATGTTAAGCTTTTACTAGGTCAGGATAGAATTAAACCATTTTTAGTTAGTTCAGCCAACTGTGCTTGTTTAATTATGAGACAGTAAATTATCAGGCCCAGCACTATTTTCCCACCCCTTATTCCTTTGGGGAAAAAAAAACCAGCAACAATCACCCCCCACCACAACTAACAGCCAACACCAACCCACCAAAACCAAAATCAGAAGCATACATATTTAGGAAGCCAGTTCCTATATATTGATGAAGAGTTACCTGTAGTCTTAAACTTTCTCTGTAAGTAAAATCTTAGCTTTTTAAAAACACACAAGTGCAACACTGGTGAATTCAACAAACATCAGCCAAAGACTATTAGACTATTACACGAGTCCTGCTTCAAATAACAGAAATCTAGGAATACTGCAACTCCATACAGAATATTTTAAAATAGCTATCACAAATTCATCATTTCTCCCCTTGAAAACACAGCAGAATTACAGTATTCTTTCACAAGAATTAAATACTTGGATTTTTTTTTCCCATCAAGCTCCCTAACTTCTAACTCAATTTGTGGGTAGGAGGGGAAAATAATCCCCTTAATTCTGCCCTTCCCCATAAGCAACCATGAACCAGACAATGTGGGAAGAAAGAAAGTAGCTATTTTATTTAATGAGAAAAATCACTCTCCTGTCTGATGGTCTCCTAGTGTCAATACACTACTAGCGCAAGGTACCGAGTCTCATCAGATATGTTTAAACCTGTCCCTGATACTAGATAGCACAACAGATAAATAACTCACTGTTTCCTGTGCTTGCCTACTTTTTTCTATCTGTTTCTTAAACCCAGAATATTCTCAGGAATTGCTGATTGTGATGAGGCTTCAAGATGCCTGTCATTCCTAATTGTTGGCTATTGCATATTAGTAAACCCCAACATTTATACATACACTTGGAACTGAATTATAGAAGAATAGTCAAGTGCAGAACAGTCAGCCATTTCAGTATTAAAATACTACATGTATTGAAAATGAGGTTGTTCCCTATGCTACAGTTGGGGCATTGATCTTGAATTTTGAGCATATATCCTATTTCAATCTATTTAACAAATTAACAAATGTTAATTGCTCACTCAAAAGCAAAAGTGCAAAAAATGAAGCAGAAACTGGTTCATCTCAAGTTACCAATGCTTCAGAAACTCAAATAAGTACAGGGACATCTCTTCGTGTACATATATATAGACTTGATTAACATTCACAGAAGAGAGGAAAAAAAATCAATTTCAATATGAGGACTTTTCCAGGACTCACCAGTCAATAAGCTATAAAAATACTGCAATTCCAGCTCTTTAAATAAATGACAATTCAATTACATCTAAATTGATGCAATAATTTTTGAAGGAAACAAGAACAAACTTTTTTTCCCACTCACTACAGATTTTGTGTTATAGCAATTTAAACAACTAGCACTTCATCAGACTTGGAAAGAAACTACTGTATTAAACACACATGACTATAAAATAAGTTCTTGCAAAAACGTTCAATATTTAAGATTTATTCAAAATTCATTTATTCAAATGAAGATTCAGATATTAGCATGTTTTCATTAACATTACACATTCTAATTTTTGGTACTTCATTTCTAGAGATGCTTCAGAATCTATTTTTGAGTAGCCCACCATCCAGAGGCAGCAGCTAATAAAGCAAGAAGGACTGGGTTTTTAGTATTACAGACCTGATAGAAGCAAAACGCTTTAAAGCTCTGCTCCCTACTCCCCCTTGTAATTGTTAATATAACACTGCATATCACACACCAGCAACAAAACCTACAGCGTTTCTCAGGCATATCACTGAAAAGTTGTACTAACATTAAAACCCCCCACAGTTTCAGTTTAACTATTTCACCATTCCGATCGCCTTGTTCGTACAAAAATCTCGCGCTTAGTTAATATTTTACAACAGTTTTTCAGTGGCAGCAACGCGCACCGCACCAAAAGCGAGACCCGTTTTCCCATTTCACGTCCGCTTTCAACATTCCGAAGGGATGCAAAGCAAACACTTGAGCCGAGGCCGTCAAGCACACAGAAACAAAAGCGCTTCCATTAGAACACTTCGCTCCTTCTGTCTGGGTGCCGCTCGGCCGGCGGCAGTGCCCGAGGCCGGCCGGGCACAGCGGGGACACCGGCCGGGCACAGCCGCACATTCAGGCGCTGCACATCGCCCCGGCAATTAGAGCGCTGCGCCTGCTCGGCCAGGGGGTTCCGCCACGCCTGACACCGCCACGGCCAGCGCTCCTGACCTATTTCAATGCACAGCACAACGAAATCCCCGACTCACAGAACCGCAGAACCAATTCGGTTGGAAAAGTCCTCCGGCCACCCAGTCCAGCCCAAGTCCGGGCCCGGTCAGGCACTCTGCGCGCACCTCGCTCCGCACCGCTACAAGGGTAGGAACACGGAAGGGGGCCTGGCCCGGCAGGACG